TTGAGACTTTAGAGTATGCTTTTTGAGCAACCAAACTATGTGAGGGAACATTATGCAGAGCCAGTCAGAAAGACCCCTGGGTATACTAATATCAGGGCCAGGTGGACTTGGTTCTATCACACAGCTATACCTTAGGTCTCTGGCTTCTATGCCATTTATCACATTTGTAACTTGGGAAATGAAGTCCCCTCATCTTGAACAAGCAGTTTTACTTTGCATTCCCAAGTTTTTGGGTTTCATTTTAGTACTGATGATTTGTTTATATACTGGATGGTGAGGGTATGTGGGTTGCACCTGTTCTGGGTGACCAGGAAAATTTGGCCCAGTAGAGGCACAATCCATGGTTGTAGGTCACATATAAAGTAGGCACTGCTCCTAGGTGGTTTTGGTTGATGATAACTTTTCCTAATTATCATCCTCTTACTCCACCAAAAGAAAAAAGTGACCACCAGCTTAGAGAAACAGCAAAAGCAATGGTGTTTGAAGACATAGATTCTACATCTGATTTTACTACTTGTAAGTTGCAGGACTTAGGGAAAGACAAGTGATTCCTGGCTTTGTGTTCCTTTTACCCACCAGATAGAGGAAGAGTAGACCCTGCCTTCATTTACGGCCCTTCTAATTCTGAGAGTCTGTAATTCCTTTAGCCAAAAAACCATCTCAGCCTCATTGTAATAGCTTTGTTTTCCAAAAAAATCTGAAACCACACATCTACATTACAATGAATACTGATTTCTAGGAGACTCAATTGGGCTTTCTACCAAGAGAATTTTATCCAAGGTCTTGGATTGTGCTTTCTCTAATTCAATGGGAGAACAAAATTTCCCAGTTTACTCAGGTATACATTTCCTTAATAGTAAGAAAGATTTTTAAAAAAATTCCAGCTAAGTCACTGTAGCATTTATGAAATCAAAATTCCTTAAAAAATTCATTCTATATCTTCCCAAGAGAAGTTAATATGATTCAGGAAAATAGAAAAATATTTCTTGCAACAGATAGAATAAGATACTATGAGCATATGGAATAAAGGCTTCCAATTTGATATGATTTTATAAGTTGTTGCAAGTTTCTATTTCACAGAAATATTTGCTTGCCCATCAGCTCAAGTCTCATCATTGGAGATTCATTACCCTGATTTACTGTATTAGGAATATACAAAGTGGGCCTCAAATATAAGCTATTATAACACCTTAGGATAATAGTAAATTTCTACCACCCTATAAAGATGACAACTTTTATACATACTGTCACATTAAATTTCACAATTCCATAAGGGAATTAGAAGACCCTTCACCCAAAATGCCTAGATGGGAAATTCAAGACTCACAGAGACTAAATGGCTTGTTCAGGGTCATCTAGGTAGTAAGTGGTAGGGGCCAGGACTAAAAATCAGTCTCCTGATACAAGCCTTTATCCAACACTTCCCCATGGAAAGAGACTGCATGACATGGGGGGTGGGGGGGTGGGGATGTGGCTTTGGGGGACAGACAGATCTGAATTCAAAATTTGCTTCTGCTACTCACTTGCTGTATATGACACAGTTACTTAAACTCTGAACATTTTTATGATTTATAAAAATCAAGAATATCATATAATTAGCATAAGGGCAATGTTATACATATTAAAAGACTTGGCATAATGGTACATAGTAGTGATCTTTTCATTTTTACCACTATATATATTTTTAATCTTATAGCTACAGATGAAAGCAAGGAATATAAAGGTAATTTAAAGGTAGGTTCCATTTTCCTTTATGAGTGGTATATTTCAAACTGTAATAGTTGCTTTCATTTTATTCAATTCCACATTTTTCCATGAAGCTGCATATGCTCTCCCTTACCACGAATGCCCTTACTGATCTCTTGACCCTCTGACCAATGCCTACAACTTTTTTCAAGCTCAAACTCTAGAAATGTCTCCTCTTTAAAACTTTCTTTGAGGCCATAGGCTTTTCCTGCAGCATTCCTGTAAAACTTGAATTCATTTATAAATATTTATGAAGCACCTCCTGTGGGGTTAGGGGACTCTGTGATGGTGGTATGACAGCACTTCACAGAATTGAACTAATTTGATTTGTTGCTGTTACTAGTTCTCACACTTTGGGATCTTCAGACCTTCTGCATTTAAAAAATGAGAATTGATATAAAGTTGTCAATTTTTCATTTTCTAAGTAAGGATCTAGTAAAATAAATAACTGTCACTTAATACCACAAAAGAAATGACATCTTGATGTCAATGCATATAACCTCAGGATTAAAAAAATAATACATTATGCTTCATGGAAAATTTAATACATGGGGTGTGCATAGTTAGGGAGAAGGCATTGGGAGATCCACTGGTTTACCTATATTTCTGTGTCAATTTCATAGTTCTTAAGGATGTTGTTTCATATTCAATTTTACACTCCTAATGCAGTGCCCACTGTCTAGTAGGACATATTCAATAAATATATATGAATTAAGCAACATATTTGCTTTTGAACTAATACCTCTGAGACCCATGGTAATTCCTACAGCACAAAGCACCTACAAGGGGACACAGCAATGATCAGAGGGTGCAGGACAGGTGCACGTGTGTGTATGAATGTGTGCGTAACACGACATAATTTACTTCACAAGTTTGCCAGGCTATAGCCATTCAGAAGATTCTATGCAGAATTATTAGTGAGCTTGTCTTGCCTGAGAATAAGGGAGGAGGTGGGTCAAGAAGCCCATGCTGAGGCATAATGCTGTAGGAAGAAGTGGACTCTCTTCCCAGGATACAATCTATTAAAAATATTCTATAGGACATCTTAAGTGGATTAAGAATTATGGTAAGTACAACTACTGCTAACAGATAATATCCATCTACTATTCATTATGCATCAGGTACTGTTATACGTTCTTTGCATGCAACATTTTGTTTAATCATTATAACAACCTGTTGAGAAAAATTTGATTACTATTCCCATTGCACAGATGAAGAAGCTGAGGCTTGCAGTGATTAAATAATTTTTCCTCAGGGTCACACAGCCAGTGATAGAAATAGGTTTCAACTCTGATCTAGTTGTCTTTAGAGCTTATAACAATTCTTGGGTATCTTTATAGTCACACAGCATTTCTATGATGAGCACAGTTTTATATGACTTAGTTTTCATTTTAAAGATAAGAAGAAAATTAAAATATTTCTCCCTAGCCAGGATTTTTAAAGTTGGAGGGGCACCATTTTTCTATTTATAAGCAAGTTCCTTAGCACCTTTGAACTTCAATTTCTACACCTATAAAATGTGATGAAAGCTCTTCTTTCTGTGTTGAAGGTAGAGTTAAATGAATTGTGTATGTAAAATAGCTAGCAAAGGACTTGGATTATGAAGAGGGTTTAATAAATTTTAATTCACTATGGGGCCTAGTAAGATAAAATGACATTTTCAAATTGAAATCACATCAAATATTAGCAACCGGATGAGAGCGAATAGATCATCACCCTGGTGAATAAAGGTGCCTATATTTACACAATTCTTTAGAGAGCCATGAGGATTATCTTTGCTCCAGCCCTCATTTTAATTAAGAGCATAGAGATTAGATGTTTCAGCATAGGAAGAAGTTTATATTTGATTTACAACACAGATGCACATTTGCAGCATCTAAACATTCCATTCCTTGTCTAAAGATGTAACAAGCTACTTCAGCAAACCTGAAATTGCAAAATAAATGGAAAATGCTTAATCATTTAAAAAGAAATAGCAAAAGAAAGAAAGACCAAAGCATGCATGGGCACTAGTGAGGAAAGTTAAGCTGCAGGAAGTCTCCTCTATTTTTTTTAAAGGCTGACAAATGGCTTCATTAAACAGGCAGGATATAAAACCCAAAGGGTCTATCTCTATCATTTTTCACACACGAACGCTTCCAGAAAAAAACTGTACATATCGATATGTAATCTCATTTTGGGTAAAAGGCATTGCTCACTGAGAAAAACAAGTTGCAGAGAAACATATAAAATATAAACTTATTGTTAAAAACAATGTCAGGCCTCACTTACATCTGGAACTTCCATGAACATGGAAATGGTATGAAAGGTTCATGCCAGGATATCATGGTGGGAACCTCAAGATGTGTTGCTCTGGAGGGAGTTTAGGGGAGAGTTTTGTTTCATGACTATCTTTGCATTACTTCACCTATAAGCACATATTACTTCAGAGCAAAAGGAAAATAAAGATAAAAAAGAAAAAATTGTACAATTTCGTATTCATTCAATATTCCATTAATTAATTAATTAATTCATTATCCAATATTTACGGCATCCTTAACAGTGATGGTTAAGTGGACTAAGTTGGTCTTCTCTGTGAGCTACCAGACCTGATTTTCAGAGGCGTGCTGGCTAAATGTGGTTTTACGTCGTGGGATTAGCAATGTGTTTCTGTGCTCTGTCCTACATCCTGTCCTGTTTCCCTTTGGATATATTAAATACAAACCATTTGCAGCTAATTTTACTCCTTTTCCTTCTACCTGTTGTTATTGCACTAGCGGGAAGGTTGATTGACTGGCCAACTCCATCAGCTCGTGGGTGGCCTTTGGTGGCAAGAACATGGAATTTAGAGTCTAAAGACAAACGTTTCAGTCCTGACTCTTCCATTAACCAGACATGTAATATTGATATGCCACTACCTTCTTTTTGAACCTCAGCACCATCTTTTCTCTTCAAATAATAATACCTATCTTATGTATGGCTAAAGCTCAGATGGGATAACATATCAAAAGTCTTAACACACGGCAAAGTGATAGATAAGTGTATATGACTCTTTCTCCACAGAGAATCTGTGATTTTGCTTTCCAAAAAGAGGGCAATGACACATGTTCACAAGTATTTATGGGTGATTTTCTACTATGGCTAAAAAACAGTAAATCTGAACGGTACTCAGAAGCTTTCAATGGCCTCAAAAGCAACGGCTGACATTTGAGACAGATGCAATGTCTTCCTGGTGAGGAGCGTGCAAACCCCGTTACCCGCCCAGAACATCTGACCTGGTGTAATCGTCTTCAACAAGCATGTGCTTGGGAACTGGTGAGTACCGTCCTGGAGAGATGGGCGGCAGGGAGGTTTTGTATTCTAAAGTGCCACTCGTGCCAGAGAGTAGATGGTTTTCCATCGGTGGAGAATAAGCTAAGGGGTGAACCAAAGAGAAGAGAAACCTGTTACGTGGGTGATTCCACGTGCTACACTATAGTTCTGTTAAAAAGAGAGAGGCTTTGCTATACACCAAGGATTCTCTTGTCCTCCAAGAGCGGGGCGTTGCTGTTTGTTTGTATTTAATATGCACAAGCACACGGTGACCTTTAGGATTGGAAAGATGTAACAACATTTATATCTGTACCCCCAGTTAGCATAATTGGGTGAAGAGAAGAACTGGAGGAGAGACCTAGGACATACATTTTCAGAACAATGATTAATTTTCTATTGAAAAAAATGTTAGCTTTCTAATTGCAGAGCTCACATTCCTTTCACATAATTAGTACCCAATTATCAAAGCAGAAGGCTCCTAAGATCAAGTTCTTGTATAAGATTTTAATCGCCAAATAAGCTGTATTCCCATTCCAGAAAGACCAAGAACTCTGGCCTTTCTTTTCTATTCCTCCACACTAATTCATTTCTCTTTTGGGTGACTAACCCCCCACCCCCTGGACTGGGTCTTCTTTCCTCCTCTCTTTCCTGAAATCAGTTTTATACATTGAGAAATCCAGTTCTGAACATGCTGTTCCCTTGATTAAATGTTCTGTTTTTGCTACTGTGTTGAATATAAAAACCCTTTTTTTCATTATTACAAGATGATCCATTTCAGTATCTGCCTTACACATATCCTGTTCTTCAAACAAAGCCTGTTTTTCCCCATATCTGTACTTTTGTGCCACTGTCAACTACCTACAATTTCTGTCTCCTATCACACCCCTGATATTGAAAACTCACCCATTCTTTAAGTTATAATTCAAATGCCCACCTTCATACAAAGATGTTTCTGATCTTCCAATGACTGGTGTTATTCCTTTCTTTTTAGTGCCCAGAGAACATTTGTTTTTACCTCCCCCAGGCATACACATCCCTCTTTTTTTTTTTTTTTTGCCAAATATTGCTGCTATTTACATATCTGTATTAGCCTGCCTTCCAGTGAAGGCCATGATCGTATCTCCTTTGCATCCCACTAATTACCTTACATGATGTCTCGCACATACTGAAGTTAGTCAATGCATGTTTCTTGAATTGAATAGCATGTTTTGTTTCCTCTCTTTCCTCTCTTTGATATTGACCTTATATGCCCTTCCAGAAGCAGCTCACAAAGTCTCAAGGCTGATTTTTCTAAATTCACCCAGTTTGAAACACTTTGAAACTTAAAACTATTTCATATCCTAAGATAAGACTGATCTCAGCTTACTGCATGCTTTAAAAAAAAAATGTTTTGGGGGCAAGTTATTTTAGACTCATCATTAAGGAAAGCCAGAGGTAATGTAATGGGCAGGTAACAAAATTATTCAACCTTTAAATTTCCCTCAAGAGAAACATTTAAAACCTAAGAGAGGTTAAACAACTTGCTGAAGACCACAGTACTAATTAATGGCAGGTCCTGAAGACATTCTTAGTCCCTAATCTCACAACCGGTTTCTCAAAATTTCAGAATGAGCAAGCTTACTGTTGTCAATAAAGCTGTCCTTTAAACTCACATCAAAAAAATGAATGGCTACTAAATCTAGACCCCAAAGACAGAACCTTCGATAAGGTTCTTGGCTGACGTAATCCGAAGAGGAGAAAACACGGGGTTTATTTGGCAGTGGACTTTGTAAAGGACCCAACACGGTGCCTCATAATTAGTTGCCGCCCTAGAAGCCCCCAACCCCAAGCCACCTCAATGGCCATAGTGATGGTGATTTTTCTCTGACTTCTGTCCCCAATATAACAAATTCAGGTAAAGGTAAGGTCTATGATGATGGTGACTGAGGATCATAATTTCACTATTCACATCCAAGATCCTCTTCCCGAGCAAGAATGGTGCTATCTCTATTCTATTTTGCCATTCTCTCTTTCCTACTCTGCTATCGCAGAGGTTTGAACTAGGAATACCGAATATCATGGTGTCATCATCATAAAGAGTTTTCAGGCTATAGAAGCTTGAAAAACAGCCTTTAAAAACATGGTATTCCTATTTTATTATAATCGTGGCTCCCAACATACATCAGTAAGCCTTTCCATATGGTGGGTGTGCCAGCTCAGCAGGGTGTTCCACCTTCAAAACACTCGGTAAGGGTAAGGCTTTGTAAGGCAATGAGGACTTGAAGCACAGCATTCCTCTGCAGTTTTCCCGCGGGCTAAACAAGATGGAAAGTGCAAGCTGAGGACTTTGCCAAGTTTCTCAGAATTCCCGCTTTGCAAACCTGGCACGCTGTGAGAGGTGACGCTGAGCATGGTACTTACAGTGAGTAATGTCAGGAGGCCCATAAGGGTCAGTCATATAAATGGTGGTGGGTTTGCCAACTTTTAGATAAACTACATCTGATGTGTTCTTCAGTATTGCTACTGCCTCTTCATGTGTTACTTCTTCTAAACTGTAGTTGTTTACCTGAAAGGAGGAAAAAAATCAATATCAGAGGCAAATCTATGCAGGTGAAGAGAAATATTCAGGCAAGTAGAAATAGAGAATTATGACCCCATTTAAAGATCAAATTGCAATACTTATGGTCCAGTGTCTGTATCATACTTTGATAGACAGGTACATTATGATAATACCCAAAGCAGATAAGGCATAGTTGTCAATGATAAAAAACAAAGTTGTGTCTGCCTTCTTTTATGAGGAAGCAATACATTATAATGAAAATCAGAATACTATTTATGGAAAAAGAAAAGGAGGGGTCAAATGTTTTTGTTATTACTATAGTTTCTGTGATTACAAAAGTAATATACATTCATTGAAAATTATTTAAAAAACAACACAAGAAAATAAAAATCATCTATAATCTCCCTATTTGGATCTATTTCTTTAAACAATTGTGACCATAGTATATAAATTGTTTTGGAAACTGATTTTTTTTCAGGTTTTTGTATCATATTGCTAATTTGCCTTTTTTTAATTGAAATATCATTGATATACCATCTTATATTGGTTTCAAATATACAACGCAGTGGTTGAACAGTTCCCATATTATTAAATCCTCACCCCCTCTAGTGCAGTTACTATCTTTTAATCTAGAAAGCTGTTACAGAATGATTGGCTAAATTCCCCATGTTGTACTACTGTCCCTGTGAGCCACTTATATTGTGATTGTGAATTATTGTGCCCCTTTATCCCCTTCACCCTGACCCCCAGCTGCCCCAACCCCTCCCTCTTGGTAACCACTAGTCACTTCTCAGCGTCTTTGAGTTCACTGCTGCTATTTTGTGTAACGTGATTTTTAAATCTAGAGTTGCCATTTGCACATGTCACGCATGTACTTCAACAACATGGCTTCAACATACAGAGCGCTGTGTTGCACGGCTATAACAACAATGTAATCTCTTACTGAAGTTTATTTAGTTTGCTTCCAATGGTTTTCTACTATAAATAATGTTGCAGAAAACCTTTTTCTATATTTGTGCACAACTTTGATGATTTCTTCAGGATAAATTATACTAGTGGAACTGTTGGACCATCTGTATGAATATTGTAAGGCCTCTGATACCGACTCCCAAAGTGTCCTCTGGACACATGGACCAGTTTACTCTTATACTACAGCCACACAAGGGCCCCCATTTTCCTACATCTTCATCAAACTTGGCTTTTCTTACTTTAAAAATTGTTCCCACAGCAATGTCATTTAAACATGTCCCTTTTCTAAGGAAATAGTGTTAATGTCAGTTAGCAGTTAGCAAAGCCCAAAACAGGACTTTGCAGGTGAGCAAGTTCAAGGGTACCCTGTTGCCACTGGCTTTAACTGCAAGTCCTCTTCCTTACCAGACAGAAAAGCCTGTGCTCTATTTACGATTCCTACTACCTGGCATGACGGCGGCATGACAGGGGGGTGTCTGCAGCACTTCTCTTAAATGGTTACAGAATATTCAGGAGGCATTTTAAATACTCAAGTTATTTTTTTTATTTTTATTTTTTTTGAGAGGGCATCTCTCATATTTATTGAGATTTATTGATCAAGTGGTTGTTAACAACAATAAAATTCTGTATAGGGGACTCAATGCACAATCATTAATCAACCCCAAGCCTAATTCTCAACAGTCTCCAATCTTCTGAAGCATAACGAACACGTTCTTACATGACGAACAAGTTCTTACATAGTGAGTAAGTTCTGACATGGTGAACAGTTCAAGGGCAGTCATCACAGAAACTTTCGGTTTTGATCACGCATCATGAACTATAAACAATCAGGTCAGATATGATTATTCGTTTGATTTTTATACTTGATTTATATGTGAATCCCACGTTTCTCCCTTATTATTATTATTATTTTTAAATAAAATGCTGAAGTGGTAGGTAGATGCAAGATAAAGGTAGAAAACGTAATTTAGTGCTGTAAGAGGGCAAATGTAGATGATCAGGTGTGTGCCTATAGACGAAGTATTAATCCAAGCTAGACAAGGGCAACAAAGCATCCACGGATGCAGAAGATTTCTCTCAAAACAGAGGGGGTGAGGTTCTAAGCCTCACCTCTGTTGATCCCCAATTTCTCACCTAATGGCCCCCCTGTGACTGTACCTGTCTTAATACCCAAGTTATTTTTGTTTGGGGTTTTTTTTTTTAATGGAGTGATTCTTTAGTTTCTGCTTAAGTGATGTAGAATTAAAATAAATGTGCCAAGAGCATTAGATTAGATGCCTTACATATTCTCTGTGTTATCTAATTAGCAATTAAGTCATACAAAACTTTGCAGCATTACTTTTTTTCCTTTATGCTGTTGTATAGGTTTCACATGCCAGTTGATACTTAGTAGTGTAACCCACGTTAGGGTCCCTGGGATTGGAGGGAGTTGAACCTGTATGATATGTGTGAATGCTGACCGAGACCCCCTACTAAGCTTTCAGCCTCTCTTCTAGACATGTGCCAGTCTTTTAAATTCTTTTGTATTTCCAGTGTCCAGCACTATGTTCATTCAATGAGCAAATGTTTACTACATACCTATTATGTTTAAGTTACCATTCTATGTATTAGAGCTACAGGGATAAATAAGAATGATAATCATAATTATAGCTGACTCCTTATAACCTGTATTTCACATAGGGCACTGTTCAAAATGATTTTACATATATTAACACAAACAAATCTCACAACAACCTATAAGGTAGCTAATTACCTTTATTTTACAGAGAAGGAAAGAATGTCTACAAGAGATTAAGAAACTTGCCCCAGAGTCATTGATCTAATAGTAATAGAAGCAGAACTAAGAGCCCGACAGTTTGGCTCCAGAGGCCAGGCTCTGAACCACACATCTACATTTCTTCTTCCAGACAGACAAGGTCCTGGCTTCACTGAGACTCACATTCTAATAGGATCTAGTTGTCTTTGGACTAAATGGTTAGATGTGGGGGACAGTGAGAATGAAGAGGGGCTGCAGGTATGGTAAGCAGTTGTTGATGGCAGCCCTTAGTAGTAAACACAGATGTAAAAATAACAATAGCAATATCAATCAGTTAACATTTATTTAACAGCTACATGCCATATACTTGGGGAGTACTATGTGCATACTTTGTCGTAACTGGTCCTGGGTATAGCTCTATGAGGTAGACATTAATCATGAGGACTATTTCACAGATGAGTAAAACATTTAAAGAGGCTGGTTTGCAACAAAGAGACCCCACAACCTCCAAGTGGCAGAGTCATCAGCTAGATCACAGCCCATGGGAGAAGATGGAAATGGGACTGCCCTTGAGTGTCGCTTCACTGAAACCTAGGACTCACATTATCTATTTGTTTCTCCCTTTATGAGGACAGAGTCTCATTTCGAGTTTACATATAGAAGTAACGTAAGTTCAAAAATGTTGTGAAACCCGGAGTAATCATTACACTTCTTGCTTAATCTAGTGGCGATATACACATGACAGTGTCATCCTCATACAGTGATGTGGTCAGAAAATAAAAAAAGGAAAATAGAAAGTGGCTTGATAGATCTGTCTCTCCAAAACATTCTTACACATTGATGAATCACTTGTTTTAGGGCAGTTCCACTTGCATGTAAATAATGCATATTCACCAATAATGCACATATATAATGATTTAAGGTGCATATGGAAGTGGGCGTTCTCTCAAAAAATGATGGTCTAAGGTGACTCAGAACACTGTGACCCCAGAAACACCCATAGTGAAAAAACAGAAAAGGAATTTGTAGGTATAACACAGAGGGGACAACAAGACATTGGATAAAGACCCTCGAGGCTAGAAACAAACTGGATCAGATTCTCAGTGGCACAAACGCTCTGTTTCTGACAAGGCTCCTTGTCTTTCTCCCCAGGGCACAGGAAGCACAGCTCATTCAATTACCAGTGAACAACGAGAGATGTGGTCAGTGCTTATTATATTGTGTTTTTGCCATTTTTAAGGTGGGCAATGGAACAAACTAGAAAATGTCACCTTTAAGTGCGTTTTCTGAGAATGACTTTGTTAACTGACTCTCAGACCTCCGGGAAAATCGTTAGCCCAGAGAACAGAAGCTGAGGAAAAGAAGGAGGGAAGGGCTGGGGAAAGAGGAGATGGTAGTTTAAAATAGTAGTGGTTCAGCTGGTATTTATTTGATGACTACAAAGTGTTGGACGATTTACACAGATTTTAGTCATGGAACAGGTGGCCCGATACGGGCCACAGAAGGCAGTGACGAAGAGCACATGGTTTTGGGTCATGCAGACCAAGCTTTCAGTCTCCGTGCTGGCCTTTCCAGGCCGTGTGACCTTGGGAAACTTAATTGTCTCAGCCTCACCTTTGACATCTGTGAAACAGGGATGATTAACTACCACTGCCTCAAAGATTCCTGAATTAAATGCGTTGACCCATGGAAGGTGACAGGTACATTAAAATACTTATTAATATTAGTTCTTACTATTACTATTGTTAGCATCCTTTGCTTTTCCCAGGAAACAGGGATTCTTGGTGAAAATTTTCGCTGAGCATTTTTCTGTCAACATCTGTGAACTGATGAGTTTAATTAGGGTACTGTTGATGAGGCTTCTGTGTGGTCTTTTTCAAAATTCAGAATAGTACAGGATCTGGACCAAAAAGTGTTCTTTTGTGCTGAAGTCTTCAAAATGTTTTTCACGAAAGTGGGTTTATTTGGGTTAATTATGTGTGTGCATCATCCTATGAACTCTCAAGATAAAGGGCCTACAGCTGGAGCTGATTGTACACAGAGAAAAGGGACGTTATACTGATTGGCTAGTTGCTCTTGTCATTGTTTCTCATTGTCTTTTTTCTTTTTTTTTTCATCAAGTATCTGCCTATAATGGTGAGCACTGAGCAACTGGCCTGGTTTCAGGAAAAAAAAAATGTGCATTTGAATGAAGTGTTTCTGTGGGGTGCGCTACACAGAGGGGGGCATATGTGCAGCCATGTGTTTGCAATAGGACAGAGGACGAAGGGCAAGCGAGAGA